TAGATTTTCCGTAGCATGTAAAAGCGGCCTTTATTTTTCTAAGTGATATTTTCTGCTTAGAGTCAAATTCTTTTCATGCAGCTTACAAAAATAAATACTTGTATTTTGCTAAGATCATAATAGCTCATTAGAAGAGGCTGAATTTGGACCTAGACTAAAACCTAACACCACAGGGCTGAGCGTGCTTACTTGAACCTATAATGTTGCTAGTTCTCGCTCTCTGGGGAAGGAGAGGACTAGGGGAGAGGATTCAGCCTTCTTAATTGTGAACCTCATTAGTGACGGTTGCTAGGCAAAACACACACCTACTTTCAGTGCATATGAAAGAGATAAACAATACGTCATAGACCATAATGACTCTGGTGCTCAGGGCGACCTTTAATTATTATATTTTTGTTCTCTTATACCTTAGTTATTAATGCAGAAAAACAAATTAGTTTTGTGTGTGTGGACCGCAGCAGATTTGTAAATCGTTTTCCATTTCTTCATGTCTAGATCGTATTTCCCTCTGATAATTGTTGCTTGCCTCACTCATTTCTCTGTGCGTCCATTGGTAAATACTATTTGAAACGTAAAATGACAATGATTGTATTAGCAGCTTAGTATTCTGTTATTACTTTAATTAATTTTATTAGTGTAAAAAGCCATGATCCTGTCAATATGTTAGTAACAACTCACAAGAGGAGTCCTGTGGAAGCTGATGTGCGTGGCCTGGCCATGCAGCCATACGTCAAATCACAGTGGTTTTGAGAATTCTAACTCTTTAAGAACTGAAGATGTATTTGACCCCTATGCATTTAATTTTTGGTCAGCCCTGAAGTGATGGGGCAGCTGGAATAGATGATCATTGTAGGTCCCTTCCAACTGAAAATATTCTATTCTATTCTGTTCTGTTCTGTTCCTTTCTATTCTGTTCTGTTCTATTCTATTCTATTCTATTCTATTCTAATTTTATTAAAAAACAGGTTGCCTGAGAGCTGGTTTGTATCTTTATGTTGGTGTATTTTACAGTGCGAACAAAGCGATATTTAAATCTAAATTATTATTTTGGGCGTTGTGGGAGAATAAATACATGTGTGCACGTGTATGAGCGCAGCTGCAATCGTGTGCGAGTGATTCGGAGGCTGATGGGCTCCAGAAAGATAGTATTTCACAATTCTGGATTTTCAGAGACACTTTCCATTCTCCTCTTCATCTCAGACTATCTTCTTTTAGCAGTTCAGGCAAGAAGTCAATCACATTGAGTCAGTCTGAAGAAAAACATTTTATGCTGTTTTTCTCATACAAACCCCCTCCTGCCGTAATCTGCAGTAAGGCCCAGCCACAGGAAATTGACCTCACAGTAAATTCTTTACAGATTCGGTCATGTTTTTACCATCCACTTAAACTTGCATACATAACCTGAGACTGTACCTCTGGATCAAGGAATATGACAAGCCAAAATAAAATCAAGTCAAATTAAATAGCAAGAAAAAGCTGCAAGCAAAACAAGACTGAAAAAAAAAATAGAAAAAGATGAAAAATTGGTTGTGACTGCAAAACTGTAAGTATTAAATAAAGAAAGAAGTCAGAAGCAAATTCAGGAGCGACCGTGTTCTGGTTGACAAGGGCTGAGAAATACTAATGGACTTTTTTAATGGGTGGTTTGATGGATGAGAGAAGAAATTATGTAAAAGTAAATGTAGTAGTGTATCAACATAAAGTATGGTAAAAAAAAAAAAAAAAGAAAAAAAAAAAAAGCATTGCAAATAAAAAAAGACATGTAAATGTGTGCCTACCATTTTCCAGATAAGAAGGGGCCGTACCTTCTGAGGGGTCAAGGCGGCGAGCCCGCCTCCCGTGTTTGGAATTGTTGTGTACAAACATGTTGTCTGAGACAGCCAGCACGTGGCCATCCACATTGACTGTTGTTGATACAACAACCTGCAAAAGAAAACAAAGAACAAAATTTAAAAAATCCCGCGTATTTTCACAAACATAGATACAGAGGCAGGTCTTCTTTTAAGACAAAACAACATCACAGCCTGTTACTTTTTGCTTTAAAGGAAGTGAATGACAACTACGAACACATCTTTGTTTATGTGGCTAACACTGGTGATTTTTAACTCACAATTGTTTCTCTTCAGAACCTGCTACACTAATTAGAGTTTAATCTCCTATTATGCTAACAAATGAATTCAATTCAGGGAAATATTCTTCTAGCCATTAGTTTCAGAAACACCCCTCTAGCCACTCATTTTAAAAGCTGCTGTTTTGATTGATCTGTTGATATATTGATTAGATAGTTTATCTAATTAAAATTTGTTCACTTGAGACTGTCTTCAAATGAAGGGTTGTGAGGATTCCAAATAAAAAAAGCTTAATAAATCAGGAACCATCGTAACTCCCCATTTTTTCTTCAGTAAATGATCTCCAGGTCAGTTTTACAATTACATTTAATGTCTGATAATGAACTTTTTTGCATCTGAAAAGACCGAGTTGAATATGAATAGTGAAAGTGTTTTCAATCCATGAAAAGTATCCCTTCTCAAGTTCATTTGGATGGTGATTGACCCTGGTATGTCAATGGAATTTCCTCCTTTATTTTTGAGTGAAAGGCTCCTATTCTTGTGTCCAGGTTCAGAGTCCGGCCATAGAAGAGATGATGGATAGGGCCTTCTTTGGCTTCCAGCTGCTTCTCAGTAGAAAATGGAAAAGGAACATATGCAAAATGCACAACCTTCCCGATAAAAACACCTACACAATGGAGTTGTGAAACTCCTTCCGGAAACAATACTGCGTGAACACAAGCCAAAGAGGAAACCGTGAGATGCGCCTGTGTTTGTGTGGAACACGGCTTCATAGGTCGATCGCTATTATCCCAGATAGACATTTACATCTTATTTAAACACTCCAGCATGGGCCCTGGGGTGTGGGTTCCAGATTTGCTAAATGAAGTAATCGCTGCAGCATTGTCTTTGGGCTTTAATGTTAGTAGAGTCCTTCAAGTCAATGGCTAAGTTAGGCCTTATCCACCCTACTGGTGATGGCGGCAAAAGCTAGTACAAATTTAGCTTTCGCCTTCCGTTTATTTTACTTTTGGTTATAACAAAAATGATTGCCAGGGTTCTCACACCTGCTCCTATACCCAAACACTTAATGAACAAAAATGGAAGGGGAAAAACCAGCCTCCTTTCGCGCAGAGCTGGTCCAAGGCATCAGAAGAAAATTCTTGTCTGCTTCTATGTTTTGGATCACCTCTGATCCTGTTTCTTATTCACAACCCATAATTAGCTTTCAGCTATCACAGCACCTTTTCTGTGTATCCTGCCTCCTTTGAGACAGCCATCTGCGGTACCCTTTAGAACAGCCCGAGGGCAGCTCTCTGCCAGGCTGCTCTGCTTCCCTACCTTTCTCCTCCCAGAAGTGGACCCTTTCAGTCTTGTCAACATCCACTTTGGAGAGTGCTGAGGTTGCACGCTCACCTCGGCCGCAGAGCTGCTGCTGGGCCACTGGACTATCTGCTTTCGCTTTTAATGAGATTCGCAGACTTTAAGAAATATTGCAAAACATACAAGCGTGATTTTCAGCATAGATTTCTGGATTTGGTTCCTAGAACACGGTATATTAAAAAGACAGAGAAAGGTGTATATAAAAATGACAACTATTTTTGTTCTGTCTTGTATATATAGGTCAGTCACCAAGGGAAAATACTGTAGTTCAGCAAAAGAAAGTAGACATGCTATGCTTTGTTATATCGGCTTATTCCTGCAGTGCACCTAAAGAAAGGTGCTGAGACAGTGAAACCAGTTAAAAATATTGTTCAAGATCTGACATACTGTTAAGTCCAGTTAAACCTTCTGAGAGGCAGGGAGATTAGCTAAAGAGACCCAGGAAAGTCTTTCTAGTGCCTACTGGCTCCATTGTCGACCACAAGATCACTCATGACTGATGCTTCATTTAGTCATCGGTGAGACAAAGAGGACATTTCCACTCATTCCAGGTTTGACCTTCTGTTCTGTTCAGATGGATCAATATCACCAATGCCACGTGAAGCTGAGATGCATGAAAAATGGAAGCTTGACTCAATTGTTTTGAAGAAATATTTTTTCCAGCTACAGATCTTTTCTGTTGGCTGGCTCAAGGGTTCTGGCTTCACCGGTTGGTTGGCTGTGCATGAAAACAGATGTCACATGTTTTGCTATCAAGTTTAACCACAAGCTATTCTTCTCAAAAATAAGAAAGTTTTGAACGTCTCAATACTAGTTTATTATTAGACTCAAGTATGAATCATCGTGAAATATTTTGAAATAAAAAACATATATTTCCTAACAAGCATTTCAAATGACCCCGAATACGGAGGAAATCATTTGTCCATCACGTCAGCTGTCTCTTTGTAGTGTTATGATTCACCACAGGATATTTCAAAAGCTGTAAGGAGAAAGTGAAGTATTAAGCATTTTCTAACACAATTGCAATAGAAATATGTGGTTGGACCACCACTGTTGGATTTACAAGTTGTGAATGTGAAAACCCCCTGTGTGAGACCCAAACTTCACTGCCGTCCGCGGTCGAGTCTGTTAGTAAGGTTATGCTCCTCAGTCTACATATGTAAAACCTCTGCAGGTCTGAGCACAGGCCACACGACAACGCAAGGTGTTAGTATGAAGGAAAACTGTGGAAATACTTTCTGAGGAGAGACCCACTTGCTTCCGCATTGGTCCATTACAGTCCACCGCAGAACTTGGCGAGTCCCAAGAACCAGCATTTAAATTAGCGGGGGAAATGTAAAATACTGCCAGAGTTTTTTTTAAAGGCACACAGCATTGGAACTACACTAAGTAGAAGCACTGATACTGTTTTTTCATTAAAAAAGTTCAAGATGAAGATGCGAGTAAGCCTTTTATATATCATTTATTCTTTAAGAGGGATCTGTACCTGGAATCTTCGCATGTCTCGCGGGTTGCCTGCATTCTTCAAACAGTTCTGATTGCACTTGAGGAAAAACTTTAGAAAGAATCTATAAAAATACAAAATTGAAATCTATTAGATTCATCAAAACGTAAATCCAATTTTAAAAAAGTTTAATAAAATTTAATCATAAGTAGTTATACCCAAAAGAATACTGGTAGTGAAATATTACTTTCCTATTAGTTAATGAACTTATTTTAAAGCATAAGATCTCTGTCGTAAACAGAACATTATTTCCAGGGAAAGGCAAATTTATATTTTTAATTTTTCAACAACTACAAATGTATTGACTCCAGGCCATATCCTTAGCTCGGTGTGGGAAAGTTGATTTCAATGACTCATTGACTTCAAAGGCAATGACTTACACCAGATGAGAATTTGTCTCTATTTTTTTAATACATTTTATTTTTTCACAACTTATATTAGCAGTAATGACCTCTACGTCGAAAAATTCCAAGGTAACGAATGATCAATCTTCTGAAAAACACTCGGCTTTGCCTCCGGTTTGGAAACTCTCGCTATTCAAAGGGACTCGATCCAACTCCTGCTGACTCCAGGGAGATCCAGGCGGGATCTGCCCACCGGCAAGGCCCCGGTTCCCTCATTGTTTTTGAAAGGAAAGGAACATGGCAAATTAGGCCCTGTCTTACGACCTCTTCAACCTTTGCCAGCCTTTAGCTGTGAGGTGTCACTCTACCCGGGGATGGAAATCCAGCTTATTTTTGCTGAGCAGCAACCAGCAATTATTTAGGACTAACCCTTATCATCTAGGCATCTCCCCATGAACCGTTTTTGTAGCAACGCTGCCTCCCGGGAACACAGCAGGCACTTATAGGAAGGGGAAAATCTTGGAAAGGTGCAAACTCCTTTATGCTGCCCTCCTGCACTGGAGGAACGAGCTGATAAGGGATGTCTCCACCCTTCAGGCTATGCAAGATGGGGGGGCCCTGGCTGTCCTGCCCTCATGCAGGAGGATGTTCACAGCCTAATGCCTCGTCTTTTCTTTATGTAGCTATGTTTTGACATGTCATAATTTTTAAAAAAGTCCAATAGGCCTTGTTTTCAGCTAACAATTGACAGCTAATGACAAGCAAGGCTCAGGACTTTCTCCTCATGCAGAGTTCCTCAGATGCGCCAGCCCAGCAGCTTGTGCTGCCCAACTTGATACATGCTGAATAGCGAGGTTAGGCAGAGCTTTTACATTTAGAATATGAACAATTACCATTTATCCAAGTCAATCTTTACAAGTGACTGCCACTATTCTCCCTGTATACACCTCACAGAAGCTCCCGTGTGCCAACAGCATTCCTGGCAGGAGGCAAGCCAGGCGCCTCTTCCCTCCTTCAGAACCCAACATGGCCCAACCACGGCCGATAGACAGTACGACCACGGCTGCACCACGTCACGCTCACTCCTGCAGAGCTTCAGGGGCTGGACAGGAGCATTACAAAGGAGCGTCCCCATATCACAAACTGATGCTTTTAATCACAGCTCTTCCTTTTCAGTTAAAGCTTGAGCAGGACCCTAATACCAATACGGGATGCTAATGCTGAAGGAGCAATCTCTCATATCAGAGAGGCAAGGAGGGAAACGGCTAGGTTTACTGCAACTGTGCATAAAGAAATCGATACTGTCTGTTCAGCTGAACGCACATTTCTTTACAAGTTCCTATCCCAAAATCTGTAAAGGGAGTTTAGCTGTCGAGCTGAAAGAGAGCTGGATTTCCATGGTGGTTGACGTGATCTCCTAGCTCGGATGCTCACTTGAACTCATGTTTTCTGGATACAGTTGCAGGGACACTATCAGCAACTCCACAAAACTGCACCTTTGTTAGCCACACCTTCATCCTAATTTTATCTGCCTTGGTTTGGGTTTTTTTTTTAAGATATTTATGAGCTCCAGATCAACTGAGTATAGCCTAAACGTAATGGCATTTCTATCATACCTCTATTCTTTCTTGCATAACTTCCACCACATGGACTGCGATGGTGTGCAAGGACCAGCTGATGCCCACATCAGTACAGGACCACCAGCTGCTGGAGAGTCAGGAGGTGGGGAGAGCCTCCAGCTTTACAGCTCCTTAATGCCACAGTCAGGCTGAAGAGAAGTATCTTATCTATTTTTTTTCTGATCTCAAATGGGTGTTGTGAGGCTTATTGAGCTAATGTTTGTAAATTGCTCTGAAATTCTCCAATGAATTGTGCACCAGGAATGCTAAGTATTGCTCCTTGTGTGTTGTTTTTAACGTGAAGCATTCCTGATGAAATGTGTCTATACAGAGAGCTTGCATCCTGTCAAAAGAAAAAGGGCCATTAAGCACCCTTTCACTAAACATCAACTGGAACTGGTATTTGTTCAATTATTTGGTGAAAAGAATCCACGTTTGGTGGAATTAGACATCTTCAGGTTTACCAGGATGACCCTGAGCACTGGGCTAAATATTGAAGCCACAAGACTGGGGTGAACACAAGCAGCACTCGTATTCCAGATCTGCTGCATTCCTTGATACTGAGATATTTTATTCTATTTTTTAATCTGTGTTTTCAGAGCACATGTGGCATCAAGACAAGATTTTCAGAGGAAGACAACACAAGCTAAAAACCATGTTCCCAGGCAGGGCGTTTCTCAAAGCTTGCCAGGAGAAGACGACTGACTTGATCGTTCCTCTCAGCGGACCAACAAGGACCGTGGGCACAATGAACCCACCCCTACTGCAGAGAGAACAGGACCAGACGCGCTCCCTGTGATCCCTGCCCTGCCAAGACAAGACCGTTGCAACACAGTAAGAAGCAAGGAGCTGGATCAGAGCTCAGTTTGGTCATGTCTCAAACTTCATTGCTACCAACAGAATGACAATGCAAGCCTTTCTAGATTCGCCTCGCCTATTTTTTGCATTATACGCACAAATGTAGTCTTTTTAATAAATACAGTCTTGCAGAATAGCCTTCCTAAGCATACTAAGCTGTTCCTAAAATACTGATATGGAGAAAAATGCAGTCTTTGTGATGTTCCTTTGCTCTGATTTTTTCACGCTGCTAGAAAGGGGACTGCTACCATCTTAATTAAAATGTATTACCTACCACAAGACTTCACTATTTTAAGATAAAATTTACATCTTTTATTAACTCACCTCACCTATACACTTAGCTCGCGATGCCTCTCAACGCCCATCTGCCATCCCCGTACAGTAAGTCACTTGATATTCCACCCACCAATTTTTCCTAACAACCACTGTGCAATTAAACTCAACACGTTCTGTTGCGAGGTAAATTAGGCACACCTGCGGCCAGACTTCATTTGAACTGCATCAGAAAAGGACCTAACAAGGTGAGAGCGTACCACAAAGTTATAGGCCTGTCAAGCAATTAGGTTTTCACTTCTGGGACATCCGCACAGTGCAATTATGCTACACATTACAACCTGGCTAATCTTCTGAACAAATGTCATGTCTCGGAGAAGCTAGTAAAAGCAGTTCATCTGCAAATGTGTCTGCTCTTAAGCCTCCACCTTATGCACATAACAACCTAGGGGAGACTTTTTTGTGATATGAAAGATGTTTTTTCCACAGAAGATTTTTTAAACCCTGCAAGTGCCTTTTCATCCTTCTCACCTCTTCTTAACCTTTTTGAGAAGAGCTTTTGTAGCAAATAGACCAGAAAGACTTTTGTACTTGAATTTCAACGCTAAGCAAGAAAATACTTGGTATTATAAGCACAAGCAATGGCTTTAGTTTGGTCCGATTCAAATATTGTTTGGCTAAAGGAATATTTGTGGCGGAAAACCACCTATTACATCCTAGAAACATCATTAGCAAAGCGTATTTCCACCAGACCCCAAACAGAAGCGTCATTCATGCAAATAAACCTCAGTAGGAAGTAAATGTTTATTTCTTTTTATTTCAGATACTGAGTGGCACGGTGACAACACCCTAAACCAAAATCTGCACTGAGGATAGGTGAGATCTCTGCTAAGGAAGTCAGCCGAAAACTGCAGTGACAAGCAGCCTCCATCCCTCTATCAAATAAGATCTTCCCAACATCCAACTCAAACCAGACAGAGGAGAGAAAACTGCATCAGCCCTGCAGGCACCATTTTGCTTTACTCCAATAAATCTGTTTCATTTTCATCTGTATTTCAGGTATGCGGTTAGTGCATTCAACTAAGCCTACAGATGAGATCTTGCTATACTACAAAATACAGACTTTTTAAGATATGACAAGCGTGCTCTACTTTCATGAGTAAAAAAGCTCAGATTGGGATCACTATCTGCAATTCTGAAGTTCTTTGGAAGAGAAGCTGCCCACAGGGGCACAACGCTGTTACGGGGTAGAGGCAGGAGAGAGCAGGAGAGAAGAGGAGACATTTGAAGTCAAATGGTAATTCTCATCCTTTACTCGATTACCCTTTAATTGGCTTTTTCCTAAGAAATATCTGACAACCACTTTGCATATCTCTTTTCTAGAGCCTAGTAAACAAAGGATTTAATACTCTTGTTATGAAAGGAAAAATCTTTCCTCTGTCAGAAAATCTTTGGCTTTAGCACCAATAAACTCTTTATTACTGCTAAACTTGGATTTGCTGCTCGATCGCAAAGAGGCGATAAAAACTCTAACCTGTCATAAGTGCATTATGCTTAATTGTGTACAGTATGTTTCCAGTTGCATCTGTTGGCCCATTATCAAAATGACCATTATGTACACTAATTCCCTGACCCTGTCTTTATTTCCCTAAAGAGTCATAATCTTTCACAGTAGGTATCAGAGTAAATCAAGCTTGAAATATGGGCTTTATTTACTTGTTTCTCCCAGGCAGAGTGGAAGACTGTAGCTAAAGACAAACTGCTGTAGATAAGTAGCAACTACATTGTAATATTCTACTTGGAGAAAGGGTCGAAGCTCCTGAGAGACCACTGAAAGAGTAAAAGACATCACCCCGTTTCCTTTTCAGTTTTGTTCTGTATAGTTATCAGAGGTAACATAAGGATAATGAAACGTTTATCTCTGGTTTGTGGTTCAACTTCAAGAGAAATAAAACTGATGTTTGGAAACAA